CTGCCACGCCTCCTTCTCCCTGTTACATACATTTCAACAAAACCATTATACCCTGATTTCCCATTTTCAATGGGTTCAGGGTATAAAAATCAATGGAAGCTTTTGTCTGTTTACATATGTTTACATATGTATATGTACATATGTATATCCACATATATATCACAACTGTATTCATAAGTGCTTATATATTTATATACATATTTGACTAAGCATTATTTGATATTGAAAAACATTGAAAACACTTCAGTTTTCGCATGTGTCTAATTCTTATCATTCATCTTTTTCTTATCATTTGAGATAGCATTTATCTAAGATAGTTTTTTTTTAGCTTTAAAAACAAAGTGGAGTGTGATACTATTTTTAAGCACTTATAAAACCCTTTGTTTATTTTCATTATTCCAAATAGCTTTACAAGCTTTTTGAGATCTGTATCAGATATTCTTCTAGAAGCATTCTCTGATGAGCAACTGGCTTACAAAGCTTTTGCTACATAGCTTAAAGCGGTAAATGGACAACCTTAAATGCAATCATTCATAGTTTTGACATATATTAATAATCTTAAACCAACTTTTGATATATGAGCACCTTTCAAGAGAGTTTTTAAAATAGATTTTATAATATAGACCAAATATTTTCCCTCTTATTTTCCATCGATGCAGGAATTCATATAAAAATGTCAACAGCTGAAACCAAAAGATTTTTCATTTATTTATTTACGGCAATATTTTGGTGCACTCAAATGTTTGTTTGATCTGTTTCGTGCATTCAACAGGTATGTCTAAATTTAGACAGTTCAAAATTTTGTTTCATTCTCTTGGACCTCGCTTTTTGTGACACGTTTTACAAATCTAGGGGGAATTTTGGGAACTATAAAAAACGATCTACCTAATGGATTTAGCTCTATTATTTTTATGGTTTTATACAACCAGATGGTAAATAACTTTTGAGAGATTTTAGATCTTTGTTGACAAATAAAAATGAGCAGTTTAAAAGGTAAATGGTACGTGTATACCATATAAATAAATACATATATATATGTATATATATATATGTATGTAGGATGATGTTTACCTTTTTATTCTTAATAGTAACAGCTGCTTCCAATTTAAGTCCAAATTTACAGTCATGCATACCCGTTCCACATGCTGACAACAGCTGACTAAACAAACTGAGCCATGAGCGAAAAAAAAACAGTTGCTTTTGCTTCACCCGCGTATTACGAACCGGTTAGTAATCCACTTTTGGCAGTCCAATTAATTTTACTTCTCTTTTTTAGCGGCCAAATTTATAAGGTTTTTTTTTATACATTTATTTTTAACTATTTTTGATTCGCTGACTTGATGCTTGTATAACATTTGATTTTCTCTCGAACGTTAGACAATCTTGCATAATACTGCAATTTCCCCAAGTCCACAAAAGCTACCAAAAATATTTGAAATTCAATGTAAACTACATTAAAGGAAAAGTAAATAAAAACTTTTGATTTATAATAAAAATTCATTAGTAACTAAAATCTTTTGATTCATCATATTTACGATTAGACCAGACACATCCGAATAAAATAATTAAAAACATTCTTGACCTTTTGAATTTCCAACAGTGATAAGCCTAGAAATATTTGCTATGTTCTATAGAATATATATAGATAATACAATGCTATATACCTTTTCAGCGATAGATTGTAGAGTTCCAAGAAATATATTCAAACAGAATAATACGTAAAACTGGAAAAGATAATTGCGAGATTTTTCGATTGCATCCGCTGACATCACAAAACAGCTTTCTGGTTCAATCTCTCGCTATGGATGAGTCATGACAATAATACGCTTTATTTTCCGCTGAGCTCGGCCAAACTGCTATAAACAAATGCACTTTATTATAAACAATTGGCTATTGTGGCTGAGGTACAGACTGCAAAAAAAGATTTTTGCTTACATATTATAGAAATATATATATAGAATGGTATGGATTACAATATACCATACTATATACCAATGGTGTATTGTATATGAGTTATATATAGATATGTTTATGGGTTATATTGCAACTGCAATAGCTCAACTTGCTACAGATTTGTTTATTTTGATTTTTCAATTTTGTAGTATATACTAATACTGTAGTATATACTATATACTATGACAAATCATTGAAATCCTAGGATGAAATATAGAAATGTATAAAGTCAAGTTAAGGTAGTCAAGTTTAATTATACTATTTTCTGTGAGACAACTTCAAAATAAGCCATAATCCATCTCGAGATACATTTATATATTTTCAATATACAATACTTACATTGCTCATCTGTAATACACATAATCGGAATTGATATAATTGATTTCTAGCAGAGATCATAAAGCTAAAGAATGCAACGCTTCTCTGTGCTTTTATCAGGCAATTAGATTTCAATCAATTAATTTTTAAAAAGTTTGAACCTATCGCCCCACTTTCAATTGAGAAGTGTATATATAAATTCGGCTGATTGAAATTTATGAGAAATTCACATTTTAATTTCAGATTAAGTTAACTAGAATATCTCTTCTAACTGTATCAATTTTACCAAGTTTAAACAGATTTAGGGCACGATCAAACTAGGCAATCCATAAATTGCCCACTTTATGAGATTTCAGCCATATTTAGCTCAACTCAATGCTGAAAACCTGAACTCGTGTAACGTCTTTGACTGCTAGGGCGTGTACCTGTGAGGTTATTAGCGGAAAAGCCGAGCACGCTGACCAAATATAGATTTCAATGGTATAAAATGCTTATAAGTCTGCCAGCTAATGTTTAACCTCAGACCTGTAGACTATGCCTAAAGGCGAGCAAAGCCAATGGAGTGTGGCCACGCGACAAGCCAAGCAAATCGCCAAGTTCGTTCATTATCCATTGTCATGGATAACGCGCCCCGAAATTGGGGCAGACACCCAAAAGTGGCAGTCCAGGGCGTCATATTGCGTCAGCGTCAAATAATGTGCTGTGCCCCCCCAAAACAATGACGCAAATACCACTAGGAATATATGCTATAATATATATGTATATATGTATATATTAGTTTAGTATGTATAGAACAATCAACTCTTAGCTCTAATAATAATACCCCAATGTGAACTAAGCGTGAATTTATAGTCGAGTGGCAAATGTCAGAGGTATTGGATCGTAGTACAGGCATTATTATGCCCACTAGAGGGACTATCATAAGCGCAAATTGAATCAATTGTTTATGCAAACAACAAATTAAACCACACGGCGACAAATGAAGACTGACACCGGGGGGAGATCGTGATACGCAAATGTTATTTTTATTTTTATATATTCTTTGTAATATAAATGTAAATAGTGATGGGTAGGCAAACGAGYTAAGACTCGATGAGTAATCATCGATTGAATGTTGAGTAAATGAATGCAGTTAGACTTGGGAATATGCATATAATTAAATATTATATTTATGACTCAATAGTTCAAAAGTGACTATATAATAATGAGTACAAAA